CTGATAAGACATTAAGAGTAGTTACGCTCAATCGAATATAACCTTTCTGGACGCTCTTGTTGTTATGAATGACCTGAGGTTCGAAAGGGGATGATTTAGATCAATTTCCGAATGTTTTACACTCAAATTGTTCTTTGTACCTGCACAATGGTATTCAAAACTATCAAACAAGCTTATTTTTTATCAGGTAGTATCTTTTCATTATACAAAATCAAGCTCATTTGAAAGATTTTGTATAGAGAAAAATGGAAGTCTTGTTTCCTGACTATCCTTTCGAGCTCCTCATGTCTAAGTGGGTCATTTTCTTCTATAATTTCATTAGACAAACATCTAAAGCTACCAACTTGGCGTGTTTTGAATGAGACGTATGCCTCGATTACGAACCAACGCAGGCAGTTCTAGAAAAAGGCCACAAACGCACACAAACTCAAGCAGACTGAGGCACTCACACTTGGCCTGCGTGAATGGGGATCCGTTTTAATCAATTGATTTTTTAAATCTAAAAACCACACAGTTTTTAGAATTTACTCCTCTTTCATCAAAGCTTGTTTTAAAGCAATTTCAGATTTAGCATTTTAAAAACGAAGTGTATACACAGACCCGGTAACCGGGAACAAAATCACGAAGTGTATACAGACCAGGTTGGGGAAATCTTTTGTGATTTCAGAAAGTTTCAGTGGCCAGACCGGGTAGTGTGTGTGTGAGAGAGAGAGAGAGGGGGTGGGGGGTGCTTGCAAATATCACATGCCCCAACTGACAGGAGGGAACGAGAGAAAGATAGTTTTGAGTGGGAAAGTAGGTGGGGGGAGAAAGAAAGACAGAGACCAACAAAGAGGAAGAAAAGGCGAGCGATACAAAGAGGAGAGAGAGAGAGATATGGAGAAGGAGAGAGAAATAGAGAGGGTGACTGCTCGATTGAAATTATGACAATTCTTTTCTTCAAATCGTCTTATTTCTTTGATTCCCCCAATTCCAAAACGGAGGAGAAACAATCGTTCATCGAAAGAACATCCGCAGTCTTCATTTAGATCTAGGCCTCGAAACTAGACCTAGGCCATAGACCTAGAAGAACCTAGGTCTACCCCATAGAGTTATTTCCTTTTTAAACCTAATAGTGTAAGTCTATGGTCTATCCTGAGCCAAGAAGGCGCTGAAACTTTCTGAAATCACAAAAGATTTCTCTTACCGGGTCTGTATACTTTGTGATTATGTTCCTGGTTACTGGGTCTGTGTACACTCCCTTTTAAAAATGCTTCATATTGCCATTGCTTAAATTGTGGTGCTTTTTTTTTTTATGCTCTTAATTTGAAAAATGTGTTTTTGATTTAGTCTCTGCTAAATCTGTACAACTTGTCAATATATTTACAACATATTTTTCCAAAGTCGCAGGGGATTTTATGCTTGATTTTTACTCTTTTTAAAAAAACTTATAATTTGCTAATTTGATTTTTGTAACAGGACCTTACTGGAATAGAACAGATAGAAAGATGCCGGGAGATTCTTCAAGCACACGACTGGAATATCGAGGTAAGAGTTCACCAGGGGTCAGACTGTTTATTTCTTCTCAAATTGTTCAACATTTTGTTTTTTGCCTCATATATGCACAGGGTTGGTGATTTTTTTGATTTTTTTGATAAAAATAAAAAAAATCGATTTTAAAAATTTAAATCAGATTTTTAAAATTTAAATCTTATTTTTTTTAAAATGTCGACACAGTTTGGGATTTTTGGTGGCTAAAAGTATGTTCTTTTTGTGCAAAATGCATTGTCTTTATTTTAACTAATGATTAATTTAAGCAACTGCAATTTTAGAAAGCCTTAATCTGCTATATCAGTGAATTATGGCTACAGACAAA